AACTTGCTCACATTATTATAGTTGGTCCAGAACCAACTTTTTTGAAGGACTGAATACAGAGAATGAGTATACATTGTGTGCTATAAGGTTCCCAAACAGCACTCCTAAAGTTTTGAATTCAGAATGGTCTTTCTTCTAGGTTGGTTGTCAACCAAAGCTCAAGAATCCAGCTTTCTCAAGGGTATTTTTGCATGCAAGTGAATGTAAAGAACTCAACCAAAATTTGAACTTGGCTCTCCAATTTCTCATTCTAAGCCACTATACATTACAACGCCGGCACATCTGGTAGGCTGCAATAAAGTAAAAAATTGCTGTTTAAAAGTAACAGTAGTTATTGAATTCTGTTAGAAATAACTAAAGACAACAATTGAGTTGCTGGGTGAGACCGACAGGAAATGACATGAACAAACAAACGAAATCTAATGACCTTGATAAAGTCAAAACAATTCCAAAAGCCAAAACAAAAAAAAAAAAAAAAAATAGGTCATCAGTAAAAGCTATTATTAGTATTATTAATATATTATTAATATTATTAACAACTGAAACAGAATAACAAATACTATAAACAGTTTATAAATTCAGAAAAAAAGCAAACATCTATAACTCGTTCCCTGAGGAAGTAATATTCCAAAAAGGTATTTCCTTTAACTTCAGCAAATATGGTAACTAAAATAAAAAAAAAGATTTTAGATTATTTTATTCTCAATGAATGTAATGAAAAGTACTTCGATATGAAACCACCTGAACAGTGATAGGCTATTACATGATTTTTATTCCTTATTTGGCTGTAGGCAATGATAAACTTTTAACACAGAACTATTTGTTTTTACTAATTTTCTAAGAAAGTGAAAGAAATATATAGCAATAATACCTGATGGGTAAAAGTAGGGAGAATGCATTTTTTTTGTGAGATCAAAATGCAGCAAAAAGGACATTTTGAAATTAGTATTTAAAAAAAAAAAAAAAAAAAAAAAAAAAAGAAAAAATGGCTTATAAAATGTTTGCTTTGTGTTTTTAATAAACAAATGGGAATAATTAAAATGATATAGATATAAATCTTTCTCTTATGTTTCATGTCTATTCACAATGTAGGCATTCATAGCTCTCCAGTTTTTTCTTCCTCCTTGAATGTTACAAACACTTTATGGCACTTGTTTCTCCATCATTTTGCACAAACATGTCAAATTAATTATTGCTGTTTACTATGTTTCCTGTTTTTGATGCCCTGTGAGTGTTAAATTCTCCAAACATTCCTTTCTTATTATATGCCACAAAAACTTTTACTAACTTATATTTGTGTGTAGATGAGAATGCATTCAATATAATTCCTTTATTATTGTTCCTCATCTTGTTCACTTATCGAGGAGAATCTTAAGCTTTAGTCTGCTGCATTATTAATATTACTTCCCTTTCTACTGTATTCTTTTTCAGGACCTCACAATTACAGTATCCTTAATTTCACTCAAAGTTGGTTTCTGTTGCCCTAACAGGTTATGACAACACAACTATGAAATTCAAACACACTATTGTTCAGAGATCAGAGTCACCTTTAGTGGCAGGATAAACTTTATCTACTGCAAATGACGTCACATACAGTGTGATAAAGGTTGAAGTGGAGAGAATAAATTAAACATTCTACTCAGAATAATGAACATTTAAATGAAGATCATGATTATCTCGCTTAAACTTTACATAATAAATAATTTCAAACAGGATTTAGGAAATATGAGACAATTATTCTCATTTCTTTACATCTTCATCGCTACAAAATAAAAAGTCCCACCCCCCCATCTTGTGAATACATATTTTTTAAGCCAAAACTAAAATCAATTGTATATTATCAAAAAACAATGTCATACTAGCTTGTTAACCATTAATTAATTTCAGTGCTCCTGTTGAAAATAGTAACTTTGTTTACTATAATCAGGAAAATAAAAGAAATTTTTTTTTCCATCAGTGATTATTCACTGGCCAGATATGTGTTATCTCCCTTGCCTTCAGTAACACTGAGAACAAATCGAGAAAATGTTGAGGGCATCTTAAACTCTTTTATTGATGTAAAACAAACAGGCTTATGTTGAATATGTGATTAGCAAGGCTGATCCTGGATTGAAGGGGGTTAAACAGTTGAGTCGATAATAAGTGATTTGTGGTGATTATGATAACAATCAGATTCTTCTATGATTGCTCTTGAAAAGAGATTATCAGTGAAGAGGATTAGTTTTAGGGGAAGAAAAAAAAAGAAACCAAAAATTTTTTTTTTAAATCTGTTTGTAAATCAATAACTTATAGTTAATCTTGACTAAGCTATCATGCTTGGTATTGTCAGTATCGTGTGTACTGTAGACTTAGAGAATCTTAATAATAATCTCCATGACATACAAGTATGACCTTGCAAACAGGGTCAACAGGTAAAGGAGGACATGTCATGACCCTTTACAACATGGATGCCAAGATTACTAAAGATCCATTTTGAACTGGATGCAGAATTGGTAGTATCTTGTCAATACTCATTGAATTTCCATTTTGGAAGACTAATAAATACTAATTAAGTAGACTACAAAAAGACTAATAAATAGTAGTAAGTGAAAAATATTTCTTTCTGTGCTTGAGTGGTTTGTGCTGTAGAAGATGCTTGAATGTGATATTTGCACAGGCTGTACGGAAACAAAGCCAGGTGTTTGATGTCTGATTCCTGTTCAACAAGTCTCTTAAAGGGGCAAAACTTGGTAGAGGCTGTCAATACGAACAATTCAGATGGCATTCTTACCATTATTCTCATTAATTAATTCACAGAACCTAAACGTGTCTGCTTATTGATAAAGTGCCCAGACCTATTGATTATCATTGGAATGATATATCATTAGAGCAGACGTCAGAAGGCCCGCCTTCTTGTTGAACCAAAGTCAGAAGGTACTTCAGTGCCAGACAGCTTTAATCAAAGAAACAATAAGACAGACAAGAATGATTAAAAAATAAAAATGTAAACGTTTGTTTTATTTTCAACGAATTATGTTTTATTTGGCTTTATTCTTGCTTCCCCCCCCCTCTCCTGATAAAACTTGCTTTTGTTGTTTTAATACATTTGGTAAAATGGATACAATCTGATTATATTTTTAGCACATTGATATCTATATGGGCTAAACGAAAACATCAAAAGGTGCAGGTGTTGACAAAGAACAAAAATAAATTAAGAATTCAGTTCATATGAACTTCAATAACAAAGTGGAGAGCTAAAATTCAGACATTTTTCTTTATTGCTTCTCATTGTTGAGCTCAGCCTTTACTAGAAAAATTTTCTTTTTTCTTTTGATGAAATGTAAATTACACTAATTATCCTGTCATCTCCTGTTGCCATTATACCGACACCGACTAAAAAGTAATCATTAAATTTGGTTATTGGGAGGGTGGGGCATAATCGACATTAAAATAAATTAGTACAAGGAGTTACTGAAAAGATCTTGACGAGACTTCCTTTCCAAAATATAAGAATTTCTTTTTAAACCTTGTCTTGGTTAGGCTTAGAATTTTTTAGATCATGCCAACACTGTAAATAGTCTTTTCCTCACTTTTTCCCCCCTTTTTTACTGGATAATCTCATAGGCACTGACAGGTAAACCAATTAAACAATGTTTACACAACTGTGGCAACTGCTCAACAAATTTTCATAATGACAGCAAAAATACTAACAAATATTCTTTCATTGATTTGATGACACATAATGTTCCTGACCATAGCCTTAATTTCTACACTTTTAATATCACAGTATTATGGAAGTGAGTTAGGTACAAGTACTAGTAGTCTATGGTACCAGGTTAAACATTAGTCTACCAGATACGTCACTTCAAATGTGATGCAGGATAATCAGAGATGATTGAAAGAAAGGTTAATATTGGGGTCAATAGTTCTAATTTTCAACTGCTTTGTAGACTAAAAAAAAGAAAAAAAAGGAAGTGTTTCTTGATACACACTCATACCAATAACTGCAACCAAACTTTTATCAGTACTACTGTACATCATGTTCAACGACAACCACAAAACAAGCAGAGTAATTCATTAGACGTAACCATTTTGTGTAATATGAAACTTGGCCAAATCTATTATTCATTGTCTGTCAAAGGCACGAAAGCAATATTGCAGAAAATATTTAACTATCCTAACCACAAATACCACATTGCATTGACCACCAAAGTCCATCAACAATTTTTCTTGGTTAAAAGGTCACCAACCTGACAATCCTTGGGCAAACAACCTCAGCAAGATGCTACAATTATTATTATTATTATTATGTACAGAACAATAATGCAATGCAATTTTGCTAATGGCTCACATTAATCACTCTTTGGAAAGAACCAATTAGCTTATGGCTTGGCAAACACCCGTTGAGCTTATATGAAAGCAGTCACCGAACAGATCAATAACAATTGACCAGACTCCCCTTTCTTGTCTGGTCAGGTCTAATCACAAATAAGGTGGACTTAAGATGACTAAAACTAACCCTTGCAGTCAAAGAAGCTTAAAGTCCAAGCTAGTTATTTCAATTAATTCTAATGGGACAAAGAAAATTGGCTTTGTGCAAATGGAGAGAAGAACCTTGTCAAGTTTGCTCATCACATTAAGCTAAAGTTTAGAGATTTGTCTGCCAATATTTTTGTTGAGACACTCATATGCACCACCCAAGTGCATTCTAATCTGAAATTTGGTGGATGAAAAAAACAAAAACAAAAAAAAACCTCTTGATAAGATAAAGAAATACTGGAGGTAAAAGAGGATATCACTTGTGGCTCTGATATGAGTCATCATTCCACAAACTATTCACATTACTATACTCTAATATTGATTGCTTTGATTTTTATGGCTTATCAACCTTTTACAGGTTATTTAAAGCCAGAAAATATTTTGGGGTTGTAAGATTTTTTCTTGATTTTTACTGGTACAAATGCCATTAAAAATCAGACATTGAAGTGCAAACTTTCAATTGCCACCCACACACCCAAATTTACAGCACCTGGTATTCCTAAGCAGTCACCCATCTAGGTACTGACCAGGCTCAATGTTGCTTAACTTCAGTTATCATATTAGAACTGGTTTTTCAATGTGATATGGTGATAAAACTGTCGGATACAATAGATACTGAAAGCAAACAACAGAATGAATGAAATGGGATGAAACCAAGGTGAGGATCCGAGTTATAAATAACAATGTATCTAAAAGAAGCCTTTTGATAAAAACAACAAAGATGAAGATACAAGTGTGAAAGAATTGTCATGAAAACACAACCACCAGCACCACCATGTATTAAAAAAATTAAGAGGGGAATTAACATTGTATGTGTTTAAAAAGAATGATCATGTTGCTAGAAAAATATTTTTAAAAAAGAATCCAATAAACGAAAGGATCGTCTCGGCACAAATCTTTTTGCATGAATCTGAAACCGTTTCTTTTAAAAAGTGAAGGAATACAGAAACCATCCAACGAAATTGACATGTAAAGAAAGTTAAAGAATTTATTGGTTGAAATATTATGATAAAAATGAGAATAAACAATCAAAATTCACAAACCAATAATTCTACCGACAATCATGGTTACTCTATAGTATACTAAATCTACTGAAAACTGTTAGTTCCCTAATTAATAAATCAATTTGTTCATTAGTATTATAGCATTACTAACAATGACTGATTTACAGTCATCAATAGATTACTAGTTTTATTACATGTGAATTAATTACTTAACTGTTAGTTACCAGCACAACCTTAATTAATGACTTTATTATTTTGTCCACATTTTAATTGCAATAATGAAAGTATTACGATCACAAAGGTAGCATCTGCTGTCAACATCATCATCGTTAATCTTCGGATGCTATTGCATTATTTGTCAACATCGAAGGGAATTCACTGAAGCTCCAATGATAAAAACAGCCATATTGAACCAAAAGAAGTGTTGTTCTAAGTTCTGAGCTGATTTGTTGATTTCAATAAATTATCCTGACAAGCATCAACATTCTTCTTGTTTGTATATCTGTCCTTTTGTATGATATGCACTAACTGAAACAACAAGAGTAAGGATGCTAGTTCACATATTGATTAATACACAACCTCACTTCATCTGAATCCCTACATAAAGTGTAAACATGGATCCTACAAGTGAAGTGCTGGATTTTCAATGATCCAGACATTTGAAAGTTTCTTCTTTCAATCAAATGAAACAAACTTTCAACTGTCAAAGAAAATGTTCAAAAAAGCCTCAACAAGTTGGATTAACAGGAAGAGAAACACACACACAACACACACACACACACACACACAAAAAAAAACATGAAGAATTTCATGGAAAATGAAACAGAAATAAAATAGAATTGGATATTTGCCAAATTTAGCTTGGTCTGGACAAAGCTAAATAAATGTATAAACAGCAGGGTGGGACTATAGGAATAGTAGAGTGGAGAGTATAGGAATAGCCAGCTTGGTTGCAGATTTGAAGAGTATAAAAAAATTATGTTGCCCTCATTCTTCCATAAGGAAAGGATTGACTTAGAAAAATAAATAAATTTAAAAAAATATCAACACTTGAAATTCTGGATTTTACCTGGGTTTGAACACTGACCAGTGGTGCCAGTTGCAACTAAACAACTAACCTGGTCCCACAAGTATAAGTATCATGATGACTATTATTTCCAGTGCCCAAAAGCAAAACTTTTCTCTCTATTCCACATGGAATATAAATCTTTTTGACATTCGTTTTAACCAAAGGGCAATTAGATCAATTAACAATCATTGGAAGAGAATCATGGCAATCCAAAGAAATCTGCTAAAGGTCTGCTGAATTATTGAATAAAAAGCAAATCATTTGGGGGTCACTTGACACAGACAAGTGCACAAAGACAAATTATATGCATTATCTAATGAAGAAAAGATATTAATTAACCTGGTTAATTGCCAGACACTTGTAATTCAGGTTATGACTCAATCAAACTTGGTAGATTTTTTAACCGGCTGTCGAAATACATTATCAACTGGATTAATTTTAGGGTAAGAATAAATAAGTTGCTAGAGTTTCAGGGTTTTTGTTCTGGGTAAAACATAATACCAAAAATATATCTATTGGCAATGTTTCAAAATTTATAAGAATAAGGATGAAGGATACTTGGATGTAATCTCAGAAGGAAATGAAAATAGAAACTTCCATATGACAAGTTAACAGTCACTTGATCTTAATTACTGTGTATACTTAATTGGAGAGATGAAAATTGATGGCGCTTAACTGAATATCAATATTATTAAGAAATAATGGCAGATAAAAAAATCCTGTCAGTTACACCTGTAAACATACACATGTGTACAAAACTGTGGATAGATGGGATCTGCAAAAGCAGCCATGTTTTTTGAAACTGCATGCATGTCCAAAAGTTTTGTTGCAGCCAAATGTGCCATCTTTGTGTGAGTAGTTGGGAAACTCAACTATGACCTTGTATAAAGTCTGGTATGCATGGAAGAGAGCAAACAGGAAAGAGAGAAAGGTGGGGAAGGTTTAAGCAAGGCTGAGATGGAGAGGCAACAACACCCTTCCCACACTCATTAATCAGCCAGTTACATTAATGATGGGGAAGAGGTTGCTACATGGTTACCCAAGAAAAGCAATCCTGAAAGAGAGAGAAGACTATACTTCAGCCAAGACCTGCTGTTTATCCGGTCAGTGGGTTAACATAGGTATTAAGAAAAGCTGTGTGATATATGCAAAGTGTTGACAATTTTGATAATAATTTACAAGGTAGGAAGGGCAAAGGAAGAGGGGTAGCCACAACACCTTTCTCTCCACCATAAAGTATTGAATGACAACAGAACTTGGTGAGTAATTATAGATAATTTTCAAAACTGGTTTAGAACTATTGATTAAGTGCAAAGAGACTATTAACACTGTTCTAAAGTGACCTATTGTATGAGCACCACTTAGAGAGAGAGAGATAGAAAGATGAAGAGAGAGCCAATTAGAGGGAGTGGGTTAAAAGACAATGCCAAGAGAGAAAGAAGGACAAGAGAGAAGAGAAGAATGAAATATGTGTGCAGTTCCAAGAGAAGGAAAGAGAGAAAGTGTCTATAGATAAGAGAGAAAGTGTTGACAAGCAAGAGACAAAAACCCAGAGGAAGTGGCAGTGTCAAAAGCAATAGGAAGCAGAAAATGTGACCCAGACAATACTTAGGAGATCATACTGGATGGGGGGGTCTGTGGGGGAACATTTCCCTTTTATAAGAAACAGCAATTAAATGTCGTGAGAGTGGAGACGTAAGCAGAGACATGGAGAAGAAATAATATTTACATATATTTGCGTGTTTACAAAATCTGCATTTACATGAGAGGAATTAATGGCTAACCTGTTTAGCCATTTGCGATGGCAACAGAATTAATACCATGAAAACATGAGGCAAGCAAAATGTCATGCAGGATGATGTGTCGACGGAGTGTAAAAAAAGATTTGTATTCAGTATGACAATGTTGAAATAGAAAAGAAAATGATAGCGGGGACAGAGTGCATGAAAGTGCTCTTAAAGAATAGACAAAATTCTTTCTTGGTCAAGATTCCTGGTAGGAAGGCTGGTCTTGTTGGATAAGAGATAAATTGATCTCTAAGAAACATTGATCAACTGCAAAAAGCCCCTTGAAATAAGTTGCTCAACTCCTTTAACACTAGAATCTGATTGCAGTTGCAAATCTCCTTTCTGACAAAACCGCCTACTTCAAAGAGCAGCACAGGAGAAGAATCAAAACAGAATCAACATAAATGCTTTCTTTCTTTTGAAATGCTAAAACAGATATTTATTTACATTTGCAAGATGCATCCAGTAGTAAAGAGGTATTCTATTCAAAAGGGAGACATTAGAAAGCTAAAATATTTACAAAATATACAAAAACAAAATACCTGAAGGAAAATGATATCAATTCCAAAAGAACTGAATCCAACAAAAGAAAGTGATGCTAAATTTTCAAAGAAAAATCATTCATATCAAATTTATTATAAAGCAATATTAAAAGATAAAAATTGTATGTATGAAAATCAATTTTACAAATTTTTAGATAAATTTTAGATATTGCCTAAGCTGGGTTTAGTCTGGCACAAGGCCGCATTTATTGAGCATTCAGTGAGGATCAAATGTGACAACACTAATGGTTTTCAAGATTACTTGCTAACTGTTACTCTACAATGTAGCATCCTCAAATGTGTATTTACTTAGCTTAGTTTGGTACAAGGTCAACAAAATAGAGTCCTTAGTATGAAGTGGATTGCAGTAATCATCTTCATGATTGTGATATGCTCTGGAAGATTATTTAATAAAATAATACATTTAGGAGTAGATATGTTCACTTGTTCATGTCTTGTTCCTTCCTGTGCTTTTGGACAGGAGTAGAGGTTCATCCCTTGTTTCTTGTTTAGAATTGCGTTTCTGGTTCCTTCTAAAGTCTTTTTATTCTCTTTTACTTTCACGGTAACCTTTTGTATCTTAGTGGCATTGTTGCTTTATTTGGAGTGAATTGATTAAAAAAAAAAAAAGAAAAGTGGTCAATTCTTTTAACAAAATAGTCTGAAAATCTGGACATGCAAAATTGATGATTGCAGAGAAATTAATTTGTGATAATAAAGACAGAAATTAATTTATCTGATTACATCAAAGTACTGAATGAAATATGTGGGGTTGTGGGCAGAGATGAAAGTCAAATAGAAATAAATCTATTTAACCTGTGAGTGTCTAGTGTGTGTGTGTTCATTATGATATATGGAATGGAAAAATCAAAAGATTTGAAATCAATATCAATCCCAACACCCACAATCCAGTTGATCTAAAATAGCAGAAAGCAATATATGTTGAATATAAGAAAAATCATCTCTACCTTTAAGATGTCTCAATTACATAAACACATTATTCACACACAAACATTCTTGTTAGTTCTGACATTCTCAGTGTATGTCAGCTATTCTCACATACCACTTATATGTGCATCCAAAATTCCCATTTCATGTATACACTTGCGACTGATGTCCAAGAAAACCCAAAAGCAGTTGTCACACCTCAGATGTCATAATCTATCATTCTGGCTGTAACAATCAC